TCAAACAAATTTGAGCGTGTATCGGGCACTTTACACATTATTATGCCCACAAAACACGGCCCAATAGCCGAGTGAGTACTTTTCGAGACTCACGTGTGACATCTATTATCTGATAGCCTTCAGGAAAAAACGTTCAAAGTATGATATGGTGGCTTTTAAGGACAAGCGGGCTAACCCAGATTTCGGGGGTTTCCAGAAATCTTGACCAACACCAAAAGTGGGCATTGCCCTACCTATAGGAGAAGTTTGGTTTCATTGGCGTGTATAATATGTTTGGTTATTATAGAGAAAACTCTCCTTGTCTTTTATAAAAACTGAATAAGGGGCAAAAACTTTACCTTCGATTTTCTCAAAAGAGCATTTTTCGGGATAGCCCCCTTGTGCTCAAAAGCGACCATATGCTCACACAGTAATGTTGGAGCGGGGCTGTATCGCCGTCTCAAAATGGGCAATATGTCGATAAAGGAGGTATCAAACTTTCCGTAAAAATTGACAGTTGTCAATCCCCTTTATGGAAATTTTAAAGAATACATAATGCAGTCTTTTGGCAGACTATGCACCCTCACTCACCTCTCACCTTTTCCCCCTTCCCTTCTCTCTCTCTCTCTCTCTCTCTCTCTCTCTCTCTCTCTCTCTCTCTCTCTCTCTCTCTGATGCCTTCTCTCTCACCCTCTTCCCTACCACCTTGACAAACAGCCCTAGTTTTGTTAAAATCGGAAATAAAAGATCGCAAATAATGTTGTAAAATTTTTTTGCTTTGAAAGTCTGAATCGGTTACCAATGCGTATTGCAAAGCTTCCTAATGGTGCAAAACCACCGCGTGCGGCCCGGAAATCTTCGTGGATTTTTAGCCATATTTGCTTTTTCATCGATTAGTGTGCTGCACCATGGACATTCCTCAGTTAGAATTTGTGGATTTTGATTTGATTGATTGATTGATTGATTGAGTAGATGTTTTACGGCACTATCGACACAATTTTGGTCATTTAAGCAAAATTTGTGGTGCACGTCATAAACGGACGTATGGTCTGGAACACTGCTCACTATGGTGGCAATATCTGTCTCCATAGAATTATGCAAATTTAAATTGCCAAATTATGCACACAAAAAAAAGCAAAATTACGCAAAAATTATGCAAGTTACCGTAACACCATTCGCAGCATGTTTTGCACTTTTTCAACACGAATTTTCATGATTTTCATGTTTTATGTACAGAAAAATTGAAAACAGAACATATCAGTATCAGTAATTAGTTGTGTATTTGGAAAGAAAACCATACACATCAGTAACAAAAAAACCACATAAAATGTAATCTCTGTAACTTTCAGGTGTAGATCTAGACTGAATCTATAGAGGAAAGAAAAAAGTATTTTAAAAAAAGGACATCTGGACCTCTGATGCTGGCACATTACTAAAACCAGGGACACCTGTCTAACATAAAACTTCTGAAGACATGAAAACAACAACTTTTGATTGATTGAAAAATTGAGCATGCTCAAGAAATACAATCCCAACCTTTTACCATGATCTTCTAACAAGGGAAATAACCAACTTTTCACTTAAATTAGACTTATTGCGGCGATTACTTCCCTTTAGTCACATGGCGAGGCGTTCATTGTTAATTAAGGGGGGCGGCTACACCCCCAAAATCAAAATTCGGCTCAAAATC